GCCATACAAAGACAAAAGACTAATAAAGTTAAATATAAAAATTTTGTTTAAACCAGTTTTTCTCCTAGCCATAATGCCAGAGAGTTTTAAGAAAAATGTACTCTATCTAATTATACATGTACTAACTGCAGCCCGCATAACTTTTGCGCAGTATTTGAGAAAAGAAAACACACCATCAGAGCTAGATATAATCAGAAAAGTGTTGGCCTGTGAGGAAGCAGATAGGCTCACTCTTGAACTTAAAAATAAAGGGGAATCAGAATATTTTGAATTCTGGAACAAACTTTATATATTGTGATTGGACAGAAGGATGGACGATGTACTAAGTAGGCTAATAGTTAATGGTTGAGACAAATTGTGTATAATGTGGAATGTATGGTCACTTCAACTTTGTGGTACTGCATTGCTTTAAATGTAAAAATAATAAAAAATATATTCTCAGAAAAAACAATAACAAGGTCATTATTTCATTCAACCGATTTAGTACCTGCTCTTCACGCCCATCACAGGCCAAACGTCTCACACTTTCAACCATCTCATCCAGAGAAGCCACTCCCTGAAGAAGACTACCTGTCAGAAGGAATGAAAGCCCACAATGAACAAGAATCGTTCATCTAAAGGGTCACTTGTAGATGTCAAATTAAGCCTGACTCAGAAACTCTTACAATGGAATTACATTCTATATATCTCAAGGTGTACTCCGTGTACTCTTATGCAAGGCAAACGATGAGATGATTATTATCAAGTCACAATAAAAAAACTAGTTTTAGATCATAAATATTAGTAGTGACAGATCATAAATTAATTGCTGCTATCTCTACCCGAATAAAATTTGGTTCAGAATACTGACACTATCAAAAGTATAATGCTATAAAATAGGTTTATTGGGCCAAAATGAGTTAAAAGGCAGGTTTCTGGGTGGCAAAATTAATCGTTCTTTACCCAGGAAATTTAGTATTGTATATCCTGAATATGTTTTAGAAGTATGTGGAAGAAATGTAGTATTTGAGATAAGTGGCTATATAAATCCAAACAAAAAATGAATAATATTGGGCTGCTTTTTATACTGAAAATTCTCTTACATGATTTTCATGTTTTTTTAAACTTTCTAATAGTTTGATCTGTTTTTATATTGTTTTTGATTGCTGTAAGCTGCCCAAAGTCACATATTTGAGGCAGCTGGGAATGAAGGTGTAAGGGAGTGTAGAGTTATCACCCAGCCCTCTCCCAGAAAAATGAAATATCCTANGTCCAGCGGTCGGTAAAAGCACAGACTGGGTATTTTCTCTGTCTTCCAACCTGAGCGGTGAGCTCAGGCAGCCATCTTCCTTCGCACATGCGCAGTTTAACAAACTTTGCCCCTTCCTATCCACAAGCTGTATTCTACAAAATTAGTTTCTGTCACCAGTTGTTGCCATCTCCTCAGGACCAATAGATGGGTTGGCCTGTTTCATCATCCCCCCTCCCACCCCAATGAAAGCTGCAAATGGTGCTACTGGCAATATAATTAGTTGAACTGATATTTTTGATTATTTATGCAGCAGATATACAATTGTCTGCTGTTTCTCAGTTGTGAATCTTAAGCTATTGGCTGAACTGCTATAATGTTGTGCAACTATTTTATTGATTACATTTGAAGCCAGATGAAAGCATTTAAGACCAGGAAAAACTGAAAAACCAATGGGTTAAATATTTTTAGACCTACTCAATAGGCCATCCGCAGTTGATCAAGCTGTCTTATGGCAGATTTTTCAGCTGTCAGTTTTGGATGCTCTAGACATGCCTTCCTCTGCTGAACTCAAGAAAGCATAGATGAATTTAAATAAGCAAGAGGGTAGGATATCATTCTAAGCCTCTCACTGTGGCTATCAAAAATAGGAAGCAAATCAGACTACAGAAACAACAGACGTATCTCACTGAGGTCCATCATAGGCATATACAGACTTGTCACTTTTTCAGAAAAGAACCTCCCAGGTGGCTTTTGGCCAGAATGGATATTCACAATGTTATTTCCCATAAAGTAAATTCAGGAGAAGTGTATTGAGAACAAACCTCTTTACTCTATTTTCATTTACCTTTTAAAGGCCTTTGCCCCTGCAAACAGGGAGGCTCTCTGGGTCATTCTGAACCGTTATGGATGAATGAAGAAGTCCATGAAATTGATTCATGACAGAATTGACAGGTTATTTTTTTTACAATGGTGATAAATCAGCTGCATTTGCTGTTTCATGGAATAAAACAGGGTTGTGTGCTAGCCTGTACTCCTCAATGTGTTCTTTGCTTCAGATCCTTTGCCAGGTTCTGAAGAAGATAGCTACTTTAGGTACCAACTGGACAGCTCTCTCTGATCTTTGATGCTTGAATAAAGACTCTTGTACAGTTATTCAGGAAATCCTCTTTGCTGATGACTTCACATTTCAGATGCAAAGACAGTGATCCCTGTAACATTTTTTCAGATGTTGCTATGCTCTTTGGCGTATCACTTCGAACCAGACTTTATTGGTCCGTTCCACATTCCAAACCTATAGGACCAAAAATAATTGTTGACGACATTCAGCTGATAAATATAAAGAGTTTCAAATATTTGGGAAGCATCATCTTGAGTGATGGGTCTTTGGACAAAGAAATCTACAGAACTGTGATTCTCCCTTTTCTCCTATATGGATATAAATCTTGAACTCTAAACAAGGCACATCAAACAGCTGTAGAATTTCTCCTCTGAAACAGAGAGTAATGTGCTTTCTGTTCCATCCTTGGCATGTGTTGGCATGTGTCCAATTTAAAGGTCTTGGATTGTACCTGGTCCACCAGCATTGTGTCCCCAATTATCAAAGCCCAGATGAGGTGGTTGGGAAACATTAGAATGGATGACCATTGTATATCTTGCCAGTTGCTGTATAGTGTAATGAAGTCTGGAAAGAGTGCTTAGACAGACTATGCCAGTTCAACAAACATGTTATGAAATGAATTGTATTTCACTGTAACACTCAGCTACGAGAACTAGAAACTGCAACTGCTGACAGAACCTGTCTTGATACCCTCTGAGGCCTCCACTGACTGTGAAGACAGGTACAACTGATACAAACCGTGAATAGCATCACAGAAAAACATCCTGTTACTGCAACAATGGACTTCTAGTGCCCCCTTCAAACTATTCTGTACTTCCAAACTGGAACTAGAGGTTCCTCCATGTCCAGAATGAATTATACAACAGCATGTCTTCTTCAAACCTGAAAAATCATTATATCTATTTGATGCCAGATGAAAGCATTCAGATTGCTTAAGTTCAAATAAATGTATTTTATCTGGCTTTATAATATTTGAAATCTACATGCCAGTGGAGTGCTGAAGATTTCACAGCAATTTACTAAAATTGCCAGAGAATTTGTTTGGTAAATTATAACTGAGATTAATAGTAGTAAAAGCTATTAATGACTTTGTCTATAAAACACAGTCTCAGCATTCTCCAATTTTGCAATACTATGATCCCTTATGATAAAAAATTAATTTGGGCAACATCCCATGATTACTAATTATTTCATTGTAGTTAGTAATACTTTGAACTTCTGGACTTCATAACCATGTCCGAGCCAACATTTTTAAAAAGTTGGAACTCTCTTCTGAATGGAACGTGATTCTCCCAGAAGATTCCAACATATAATTTGAGAACCTATGCACTAAGTCACATCACAATTTAATACAGTCCTTGCTTAACTATATTCAGTTGCATCAATATGAAAAAATAACTTTTTGAGCAACCCACACATTTACAATCTTCACAGGTCTGTAAAGGAAAGGAAAGCTTAAGATCAAAAGCACAATTGCAGTTTCTCTTAGTGACTGCTTTGCTTGATGATTATATTTCTAGTCCCAATTATAATGGCTAAACCAGGACTACCTATATTGTCCAAATATAGAACTCTGGAATTAAGTTTCTTAACAAAAAACTGTTCTAAAGCTTACATTGAGCATGACTTAAAAATCATGGTTAAATACTTCTAGTCCTCCTTGCAAAATGAAAGAGGTAAAAGAGCATTCACTAATTTGTAATGCTGTAATTAGCAGTTTTACTGGCTCCATTTTGTTCTATGAAATTCTTCTTTGAAATTCAAGAGTGGAAGACGGATTATCTCCCCTTATGTCAGTTTTTATGGTCTTCATATCAATCCACAACAGTTTTTCACATTGTTTTTGAGAGCAGGGAGAAGGAATAGATTCACCCAGCAGTAAAATTAATGGAATATTGACTAAAAGAAAGGAAGTCGATAAACAATCATCTGTTTCAAGCATGTTCAGTAAATAATGCTGTAATACGGCAGTAATAAATATTAAACGTAGGACTACCATATCTGAACTGCAAAATCCAGTCAGCCACTAGATGGAAGCAGACATCTAAAAACTACTTAGTTTTTATTTCCATTTAATGGTACAATAATACAATTTTGCAACCCAAGTATGTCTGTCCTGGTTAAATTAGTGTGTTCAGTAAATAAGCGAATGGATAAATGGGTAAGATAAATAAATTCATTCAAAAGCTTAAAACATCACAATTGTCTCTGTGTTCCATGCAAATACATTTCTAGAAAGAATGCACAACTGATTTGAAGACATTTTTACAGAAAGTCACAGTCCTCCTACAGGCCAAAGTAATCATCCAAAGGATTAATATAATACCATAATACTTCATTTGTTAATTTTATTAGAACCACTATCATCATCTTCCCTGAGGTATTTTTGTAGTTTCTCCTGCTCCTTTCGGTTGTTTGTTGCTGCAATTCACAAGGTAATTATAAATAAATGATGCAAGATTAATTTCCCTTTTAAAAAACTCCTTTCAAAAACATAAAAATGGCAGAAATTAGGAAAGCTTTTTTTTAAGATCTAAGGATGTCAGGATTTAAATTACTATTGTCATAGGACAGTACTATAGTTTTTCATGAAAAATAGATTATATGCTCTAACATCATATTTTAGTTTAAAGTAAAAAAATACCCTAGAAACTTGTTTTGGAAGTAAGAAGTTATTATTCTAATTCTAATACTCTATGGGTATATTCTCAACATTCACTGGGTCCAGAGAACAGCCTGTAGTTGCATACCTCTTTTTATTTTCAATAGCCATACAAAGATTTAGGAAACCTCTGGTAATTTAACTTAAAAGCCTATTCTCATTTATGTTCTCAACAAATAAGAGAAAATATCTGTATGTGATGAGTTGGAACTCTACCATACAGTATCGGCTGAAATGTATGTTTAAAGGAAGAGGTCTAAAGTAATGTGGCAAAGCTGGGGCAACAATATACCCAATAGCCAGGATAGCTCTTTTGAGCTATGAAAGCCAATTATTCTTCTCTAAGTAACAATGTTTTGGCAACAATTTTCTCTTTTTGCCCTCTTCCAAAGCTTTTGTGGATAGACAGACTAGAGCGCCATAGTTATAGACCTAATTAAATATTTGCCAGAAAGACGAATCCTTTATGATGTGAATAGGAGGCAAGGATCTAAGGTAGATAAGAGACCTATATTTATAATTCTCTTTCTCAACATTCATGGATGTTATCTAAGGACAATATGGCAGCTAAGGGCCAAGGTTCAAAAGGCTGTTGCCTAAGGAAGAAACTTTTTGCCTTGGAGCAGTTTTCTATCACCTGCTACTTGTAATTTGAACACAATCTATGTGACAATATACACTGTAATTTACCATTTATTATTTATTTATTCATCAAATTTCTATGTCGTCCATCTCCCCCTACAAGGTGACTCTGGGCAGCTTACGAATTATCCAACAGGTGAAAAATAATTAAAAGGTTAAAATGAATCAACATAAAAATATTAAGAACTGTGCCTATAAGGGCCAAATGGGACAAGAATGAGATATTTTTATTCCTCAGCCACCTCCAACAGTGTGTGCCTCCCCCACAAGGTCAGCTGGCAAAAGCCAGGTTTTCATATCCTTCTGGAAGGCCAAGAGAGGGAGGGCAGTTCTCCTCTCTGATGGAAGAATGTTCCACAGGGATGGGACCTACCTGCTTCAATATTAGCAGATGTGATATGTAGCAGGCCTCCTCTGCTGCCACAAGTGGAATATGCTTGTCCCATCAGGGAAAGACGACTCCTCAGATACCCTGGACCCATGCCGTGTAGGGTTTAAAGGTAATGACCAAGACCTTGCTTTGTGAATTCATCTCTTTCCACCGGCATGAGCTCTGATTTACCTACTGGAAAGCCATGCTTGATTAACTAATTCTCTAATTGACTAATTATCAATATTCTTTCTCATTTGGTGAGATGTCCTATATGTCAACTGGAAAATCTTTTAAGCCAAGGAAAGGTCCATGAAATTCAAATAATAATCTTTTGACAAATCCAAAGGTTTATCAAATACTACCTTCACTATAGTCTATCAGTTAATTATTTTCACAATACCTACTTAATGCTGTTGTCAATAGGCAGGCTAGGGAAAATACAACTGATTCAGTTTTGAGCATATCTAAAACAAGCTCATGAAAATAAGTTAATTTTGCAATCCTATCGATCCTTTGCATCATACCCTGATCTAAGCAACACATCAAATACATTGCTAAAAGTTGCAGCCACTGCAAGTAAGTGATCCTAAGAGCTGCACAAAAATTTCTGAAGAACATAATTTCCCCCCATTTGACAGCAGAAGAAATAGTTTTTCAATACAATTTTCTTGGCTTTTTAAATTTTATAAATGTGATTCAAAGGAAAGATTTCATTTCATAATGAACTTGCAGGACATTAATGCTAAAAAAATCTAGGAGAAATGCCCATCTTCTAGACAAGATGCTAAGTGTTGAAAGATGAAATCAGACTAAATACAGACATGAAACTAACAATAATATAGGAGAGGGAGGGAAGAACTGAAGGTCCCCTTGGTGTGAGAAAAGCACACAGAGATAAGCCAACACAGAGGACTTTTCTGTAAACACAGTATAGTTTAATTTGTCCAAAGTCTTTAACGCCCCATTCTGTTGTGGATAGCACAGTCTACGTGGCTTTCTGCCCAACTGGAGAGAGTACTGCATTTTTGATCCCCCAAATTATCCCTAAATCATTGCTGCAAGCAGCAGGGCTTATTGTCTGCTTCAATTTGGAAGGCCAAACTCAAGAGCCAATAGTTATTTTGTGTCATATGAGCACAAGGAACATTCTGATTCCTCCATAAATCTATTCAAATCGTCATAGCGCAATAAAAGGCAGAAGCTGCAGAGAGAAGAAAATGGAGTCAAACGCTGAGCCATCAAGATACAATTTGCTGTTTCAGCCTTCAACGCAAGGAAACCAGAGCAGAGAGAAACTCTTTAACCCAGAACACCTTTGTACAGTCATACTAGGCAGCCAAAGCAGAATCTGCATTAGAAGAATTTGACGCCCCGCCCATCATTCAGAGTGAATATTTCAGCCTTATGCTCCTGTTGCAAGGCCTGCAGAGCTCGGAGAAGTACTAATTCTTCCAAACCATGGAATTCTAGAAGAGAATAAAAAATATCCTTGGTTGAGAGAAAGTCACCCATGATTTATATACAAGATAATACAAAAAATTGGTTGGGGATAGAATTGGTGGCAACTTACCTAGCAATACAGAGAATGAGGAAAAGGTATCTTGCTAGAGCTCTGAATTTGCATAATATAAAAAAAGCATCATGTTCCCTGCATTTGCAGGGAATGCAATAATTCTTTTAAATATCTAACATTATCAAGAAAGGCTAAATATTCTATAAACAATGGCAGACAAAGTTTACAAAAGTTTTCTTCAGTCATGCTGAGATATTCTTGCCTAAGGTTCATCACCTGAACTTAGAACAGCATAACCAATTCAGTTATTTAATATTTAGACCAAAGAATGTACTTTCCAACCACATATTATGAAATATTTACCACTATTGAAAATTTACTTTCCAACCAGTCTGAGACTATCTTATTACTTTGGCATAACAATGTTTTACACAAAGTGTAGAAAAGGAATACTTTTGGATGACTTGTGGCAGAAACAGCACAGGGGTACTATTAGTTTGAATTTATATGGCCACCCATCTAATAAGAAGTTACTCTGGGTGATGTACAGCAAAAAAAAAAAAAAAAAAAAGGATGAAAACATACTTGTATTCTTAAAAAAAAACACATATAGGAGATTCCATCATATATTCATTCATCCACATTGTTCTTAACTTTAGTGAATTCCATATCATTGATCATGTATTCTTCTAGATCAGCCCTGGGAATGGGGGGTAGGTGGCATGGTTCTGTACTAATTCTCCCCCTTTTTTGGAATTGGCTGCAGTCAATGTTGATGGAGAATGAAAATCTACACACACATACACAGACACAGTCTTCCGGTTGATGTCACAGCGATTTCAGACACAAGGAATGGGTCTCCAGGTTCCTTGTGCTGAGTTCTTCCTGTTTGTGGGCTCAGGAGGGAGCCAAAGCCGCCCTGTAGGCTTTGGTGAAGCAAAGAGGGGCACCCTGTGAGGTCGAGGATAATCGCAGACCCCCTGCCTGACCAGGGGTCTTTTTCCCTCTCAGCCATGGCAAGAAGAAGAGACAGCCTAAAGATGGCTGCCACAAAGCTGGGACAACCAAAGAACAACTAAGACTTGTTGGAATAAAGTAGGTGGACTGTGCTGGAACCGGGGGAGAGGATTTTCCTTTTGCTTTAAATTTAACCCCAAGGAACAATTTAGAACTATCGGCTCAGATCTATATTTTAAAGTGGCGTCTAGCACTTTGAGTAAATACCAAACCAGAAATAAAAGGCACAGGAGAGAAAAATAACAAATATTGAAATATATAGGAAATTGAGGGAAAATGGTATTGGGAAGGCATTTTTAAAATGCTGTAATTACTTACCCATGAAACTTATTCTGCTTTTATAATTGTTTTACAATTGTTTACCAAAACAACGTTTGAGTAACAATACTGAAATTTAAGTGGAGAGTGTCACCTGGTGACGAAAGGGGAAACTACACCTACATGAAAGACTAAAAATATCGGACTATTTTTAGCTACCCCATGATTATTGGAGTCCCAAATATAAAAACGAGGAAATTATTCAACTAAAAGGACACTTGAATGTTATGCTAGATGATTGAACTTGAAAAGGGATGCAAAGAGGCTTTTGGCAACTTCTGTGACTATCTAAATGGAACTGAGTGTTCATATATGGGTTTTAAAGAATTGGGACAAGTACACTCCCTGAAGGGTAATTTAAGGATTGAACTAATAGTTTTTGGATTGTTGGACAAAAGTTGAATCTTTTAAAATAAGATAAGATACTTTATAAGGAAGAAATGAGTGGAATTCCGAAGGAGATGGAGTTACTTTTTCAAAATACAAAAGACATCATGGAGAAAAGATTTAAGATGATAATGGACAAAATGGAAAATACCAAATGAGGAATGATGAGTAAAGCTCAAGCTGCCCAGGAAAGGAAGGAGTCAACAGAAGAAACGAAGGAAGAAGAGAAAGAGGAGATAACAATGAAAATAACAGTGATTGTTGAATTAAACTGGGGGGGAGGGATATTAAGAGAGTTGAAAGATATGTTTGAAAGGGAGATGGGTCTGGGTAGAAACCTTAGAAACTGGGCAGTGGAAGTGGGTAGAGTTAGGAGAAGTGCTTCTTTTTGTTGTGTTGATTTTCTTTTCCTTTTCTCTCTCTGTCTCTTTCTTTTCTAGGTACGTGACATGATTAGAAGTTAGATAGGATAGACGGATTTTTTTTTAATAAAGTGACAATTAAAAGCTAGAATAAGTGATAGAAATAAGAAAAGGGGGAATATCAGTGTATACTTTATAATAAGAAAAGTAAAAACAAGATATAACATGGAATAATTGAATAATGATGGACCATAGCCTAATATAAATGTGTATTATTATTAGAAATACATAAGTTGGCTCAATATAATAATTATGATTAATTTTATTAGTTTTATTTATATTATAATATATGACAGCCAGGTGCCACGCTGTTCACACATTGATTTGATATATTTTTTTAAAAAAACAGAAAATAAAAAAACTTGGGGAAAAAAAGAAAATTTATCCCCCTGTGAGGCGCTACAGGGTTTGGCACTCTCTCCTCCTGTTTAACATTTGCATGAAGCCACTGGATGAAGCAAACAGTTTTAGCTGAGATATCAGTGCTTATTTCTACTCCAGGTCACCTCAGTGATGGTATGGAAGTTCTTGTCTAAATGTCTAGAGGCCACGGGAGCTAGATGGGAAAGCTCAGCTCAGGCAAGACTAAGTGGATTTGGGGTTTTGGACCTTCTAGTCCCAAGCCCCTCCATTTTTAGTTGTGGAAGGGATGGCACAGCTTTAGATAGAGCCACTGCCCAATCATCCTGAACGCACAGGTCCTGCTCAAAAAACAAGTGACAGTTACTGCTAGAACCTTTGCACACTGGGCATGGGCAATTGATACAGACTTTTTGAGCACATCTGACACTACTGTTCCGCAAGTTGCACTGGCTACACTGTGTGCAATTCAAGGTGTTGGTTCTTACTTTAAAGCCCTGCATAGCTTAGGGCTGGACTGTTTACAGAACCATCTCTATCCAGTAGTTTCTATCTATCCTATCTATCTCGCAGTAGTATACTGTACTATTGGCGAAGCGTGGCACGACAAAACCGCGCTCCACTAAAGTGCGCCCGATTAAACCGCATCGCTAACGTCATTAGCAGGGCGACAACAGCGACCGTGGAGAAAAAAGGGTGCTTTAAATAGCGCTTTAAAAGCAAGCCGATTCAAGTTAAGGTAAGGGTTAGGTTTAGGATTAGGTTAAGGGTTAGGGTTAGGTTAAGGGTTAGGTTTAGCGTTAGGTTAAGGGTTAGGATTAGGTTTAGGGTTAGGTTAAGGGTTAGGTTTAGCGTTAGGTTAAGGGTTAGGTTTAGGGGGGTTAGGTTTATGTTTAGGTGTTAATTTTAGCTTTAGCGTTCACAGCCTGCTTTTTTCTCCGCGCTGTTGTCGCGCTGTGATGACGTCAGCTACGCGGTTTCGTCGAGCGCGCTTTAGTCGAACGCGGTTTTGTGGTGGAACCTTGGCGAAGAACGTTGGCTGGTTGAGCTAATAGGAGAACCTTTTCTGTTGTGACCCTTGTCCATTGGAATATCACTCATTTGGAGATTAGAATATCACCCACCTGGTGATTAGGCTGGCCCTAATCCTGCTAGCCTATTATAAGACTTTGAAGATCTGATTTGTGTTCAAGCCTGAGGCTTTGAGTGTGTGACGGAACCCATCTCCTGGTTATCTTGAAGGCTTTTTAAATGATTCTCCAGCTGCTCTGAGTTTTATTCATTTTATTTTGTATATGCATATATTTTCTATTTATTTAATACAAATATAAGTTGTGAGCTACCCAGATTTTTGTACTGGATATGGACAGCCGTATAAGTCAATTGAGACAAGAAGTAAGCCCTCCTGGACTCTCATTTTCTGCTCTAAGGCCACTGTTGCCAGGAAAGCCTTTACACAGCTTCATAAGTAATCTTACTTTTTAGGATTACATATATAGATTGTTGCAAAACAAGCTTAGAAATTTCAGCTAGTTCTCAGATTGTCTTTCTTTTTTCATTGCTTAGCATAGCACAAATGGAACCAAATTAAAGGCATGGTCATTGATCTGGAACACAGTCAAAATAATGACCTCTATGCCCTGACATTTCATTGATAAATAGAAACAAATTAATCAGAGAAATATTCAGGGCATGAATCCAGTTTGTAAGAATTAAAATCCAATTACATTTAGAAAATATGAAGTATATACTCTGCTGTTGTGAAAACTGTTTATCTCTCTTCTATTTAATATAAGAAACTTGAAATAACTTTTAAAAATTCAGCAAGGGAAGAATGTGGATAGCAAGAAAGGTTCTCTGAATTAAAAATGAGGCAAAGAAACACAAACAATTGATCTCTCTTTTGACACTGTCATATATTACTATAATGGGAAATATACGAGATGAAAGTTACCTTCTTCCTCTGTATCCTCGCCATTGGATAACTCATAGAGTGTGAAAACCGAGTTTGTCGATCCATTCTTCAAAACCTGGAAATGGGGAGGGGACAGGTGGAGAAATACAACACTTGATTTTTGATATCATTGAGTTTTATATTCCAAACTTTTTTTCCTGCTAAAGATATTCACAGTAATTAAATAAATAAATAAAAATAAAACATGAAAATATATAACATAACATTTGTAAGAAATAGATTATTATATCTTGCTAATAAAATGTACCCCAAAATACTGAAAAACAATTAAAGCAACGGTCAAGTGCAAGGAAGCCTCCTGAGAAAACCATTGTAGAGTTGGGAACACTAATAAAAAGCCTTTTTGTCATCGGTCATCAGTCTAACTTCTGAAGACATGGCTTTGGGAGAAGAATTTCAGACATCAACCTCATCTAAACAGACTTAGGAGGGTAAAAGTTATTGATCTACTTTTTGTATTCTATCCATGTACTGTTTTAAAAGATAAACTTAGCATTATGAAATAGAGACAAGTTTCCTGTGAAATGATTAACAACCCGGCAACTAGGTTTAAACATTAAAAATGAGATAATATTCAAGATTTTCAAAGCTATTCATGAAAAATAATATAAAATTTGCTTGTTATAATTACAGCTGGACAAAATTGTTCCAGGAATTCCACACTCTGGTCACCTAAACTTTCATTTAAAAATATGACAAAAGGCAGAAGACATTTGTGTTGTGATGATGAAGATAGAAAAGAACTGTGGGCTCCTGCTGAAATTCAGATTCTGGGAAGAGAGAAAGGAACTGTTTCAACGTATCTTTACAAAACTATTTTCTACCAAAATTTAATTAATTTTGCATTGTTACCCCCCAAAATACTGCTCTTACCCATTGGTAAATTAACTTGCCCCATTCCTCTGGACATCGCCACAGGATAAGAAAGCTAGACTTGTTCTTGTCAAGCCATTCAAGATTCCCTGGAATGAAACATAAAATATCTCTATTATTAATGTCTGTTAAAAACATTACTTGTTTTTACAGAAGTGATGAATTCAGCCCTAGCTATTCCAGCAGCCTGACTTATTTCTAGATAAGTCTTATCTAGTCTCTTAAGGCTGCATGTCTTGTCACACCTACTTTGATGTTAATCTTAATGAAATGAAGGAGATATGTATACCTGCAGTTAATTATATTTGTGATTAAAGAGGCATGTTACCCTCAAACTTACCTTTTTTTCTGAGCTCCTCTAACACAACAAGGATGGATTCCAGTGAGAGTTTTCCTGTTCCATAGTTAAGAAAACACTAGGCACAGGATAAAATGTGATAAACTACTTAACTCAAAGGAATTCAAGATTTGGGATTGCAACAAGATGTTAATGTAGCATTATGTAGCCTCAAACAATCAAATCATCTTGCTTCTGATGAAGCACACACTTTAATCCTCCCATCAATTGTACCATGCAGCTAATAACCATGAGTAGTATTTGGCCACAGAATGAGAAGGAATGAAAATAGTATTTATGCAGCCCAGAATTTTGACTGTATAAGCACAGTAAGAATCTGGCAGCAGTTGTAATTAAACTTCAGATTTTGATTGGAATAAAATTACTATCTAAAATTCTATGGAAAATTTCTATTAGAAAAAAAAGTTTTTTTAAAAAATTACAGGAACATCAGAAAACTTGATAATCAATATCTTACAAAACCAAATCTAAAAGAACTGTATGGAAAATTATTTTCTAGTGAATATTGTAAAACTGTTATACTTTTTACAATGTCAGTTAAATTAAACTAAATTATAGAAAAAATGATTTACAAAACTCTTCATCAATTGGCGATATTCTGTGTAATGTTTTCTTTTCCAAGCCACCAATATCTTGCCAACAATAAGTATCACCTGAGCATTTTGTTTTTAACACAGCTTCAGGGAAATCAATATCAAGGCATTCTATGTGATTTCAAGCAGAAAATTGCATTTTTAAATAGAGCTTAAAATCAAATCTTTAGAAATCAAGAACTTTTTCCTCAGCAGAACTAAAAAAACTTAAGGTAAAGTGGTTTACCTAAAAACAAAATTATTTTAGAAGGCAAATCTATTCTATGTACTTTTCACAAATCATATAATCCTACATCTAGGACCATACCAATAGCATACTCGGTTAATGCTACAATCTCATAGTGCTTCAAACTTGAACTTTTCACTGACAAAAAAGCCAACTCTTTTATCACCAGGAGTTGGATGAATTCCTTGTCACATCACCAAGGCCGGTCAGACAGACTCATGATAGTAGAGAAAGGATACGCTGCAGTTTCCAATTGTTGAACAGTGGACTCTCTTGAGCCTCTGGAACAGTCATTGTATAGAGCTTGTTGAGGCGGCAATATGACAGCACTAAGGAACACCATGCTGTCAGCTGCTTTTGTCTTGTATCCACATTGGGCTGCAACCTAAAACATAAAAAGGAAACAGATGTACTATAAAAGAATCTCAGAAGCTCAATAATTTTAACTGCGAAATCAGAATCAAGGAGTAGAACTTCCAGAATCATACGCCAAGTCTTAACACTTCAGTGAAGACAGCTAAAATTGACTAAAGATCTGAATACAATACAAGAAATCATCCAACAAGAAATCATCCAAATTAGTCCTGTTATTTTAAATACCCCCCGAGTTGACATTTCCATAATTGCCAACAAAACTATACATTCTTTATGATTTTTCCAAACTTCCATAAAATAATTTATCAATTTGCGTTGCAATTTTGGTGGGATGGTCCAGAGCCAAATAATTTAACCAACTCAGTTTTATATGAGAGAGCTGAGGTGGCGGCTTGGTTAGGGTGCAGTACTGCAGGCCACTTTAGCTGACTGTGATCTGCAGTTCAGCGGTTCAAATCTCACCGGCTCAAGGTCGACTCAGCCTTCCATCCTTCCGAGGTGGGTGAAATGAGGACCCGGACTGTGGGGGCAAGTTGCTGACTCAATTTGCTAAAAAATTTGTAAATCGCTTAGAGAGGGCTGAAAGCCCTATGAAGCGGTATATGTCTAATAACTAACTAACTAACTAAATAAATAAATAAATAATAAATAAATAAATATGCCTGGTTTAGCCAGTTTAATCTGCCTAAAATACTGACATTTTTGCAGTCATTATCACCCAAATATTATCATGGATCCAACAGTCTGACTGGAAATAGCACACCAAACCATCTAGAAAATGTCCTTCAAATAAAATAAAAAAGTAAAATAGTGTCAGCAACCATTGGTGTTATCAGTTCAGATAAGGATGTGGTGAGCAAGAAGTATTTTATATACTTCCTTTTGGCAGATTTTTACTGTTTCCCTAATTGATTGTTTGTGGCTATCAAAGAATGGTAGCAAAAGGCTTCTCCAATTTAGCATATATTTGAGACAGGTGCTGAATCCAAAAACTTATAATTTTCATCTGTTTTTTTTATCTCTTCTGCTCTGAGAATATTCTTGTTCTCTGGATTTCCTGTTGTCTCCAGTTCCCTTTCCTTTATTTTTCAGTTTTGTTTTTAGCTCCAAGATCCCAACTTTCTTTCCAAATCTTTTATTTTTTGTTACTTCATCACTTCCTTTTTCTGATTTTTTTTCTTTTATGACAGTATCTCTGGTCAATTAAATGTCTAGTTAATTTAATCAGTGCTCAGGTAGCTTAATCTTTGTAATGCTATGATGTTCCCAAGGAGCTGCTTCTTTCTCAGTTTCATGTTCTTCCCTCCTACTATTTGGCAGATGATTACAGCATCATACTATCCTATAATCTATATCCTATAACATTTATTTAATATCCTCCTTAGTTTATTGCCCTCTTTCCAGGTAGTATTCCTGCATCATTTCATTCAAATTCTATCTACCATGCGGAAGAGACAAAACAGTAAGAAAGTACTAGCAGGAGACAGTTCTGTTTTACTGGTATTTCTTCTCCTTAGAAAATACATACTCCTTCCTGTCAACTAAAACTTTGCTTCTTGCTGTTTTCACCTCCATCTCCCACACTGATTCTGAAACTCTCCTCTCCGAGTGCACCTCAATCTTCACTGCTGCATTCAAAGTTTTGCTATCAAACTTTCATCAATTGAGATAAGAGGCAGTCCTTCAAAATCCCAAATGGGCTTCTTATTCAAATCCATTATTTACTTTCATATTTAAAATTCCATAGCATTCCTCCTATCTTATTTTATGCAGTTTTTCTTGCTATACAAACTATACTCTTCCAAATCTCTTACCTTCTATCACAGTTCCATCTATTCTTTGTAATCTCCTATGCCTAAAATCCTCTTTAAAATCTTAGTAACACCTTTCTATTTCTTTAAATGTTTCCTTGAAATCTAAATTTCTTCAAAATCTTTGATATAATCTAATATTCTTACTCCCAACACTAGCTATGTTTTAAGTACCCACAGTTGCATTTCCCCAATATATCCTATATAACGCTTTGTCTTTTCATTCCACTGTTTTTCTTCTTGACTATTTCAAGTTCAGATCCCTGAGGAAAGGAGTGTTTTTGTGGGGGCGGGGGTGGGATAGGATTTCGTATGAAATGCACTACACTGGACACTATTAACAACTATAGACAAGTCAGATCAGACATTCCATTTTTAATGCAATAATCCTAATTTTGTTTCAAACTAGATTACAGAAAAGTGGATCATGTTAATCAAATTAGTATTTGTCCTTATGCATTTATAAATACATGGATGGGAAACCTGATACTTTACAGATGTTGAACAACTCCCTATACCTCTCATCACTAGTCAGACTAGTTATGCTACTTTGAGTTATAGATCAGCCCCGGGAGTGGGGGAAGTTCCCTCGGTGAGCTGATTTATTATTACAATTAATGCAGGGATACAAAGTTTCCTCCAGAAATCTTGCAATTCAAACGCTCCTAGTAGTTTTTTGGGGAGGGGCGCGGGGATCACACACACACAATCCACCATCCGGAGCAAAACTGGTATCTTTTTCCCGAGAGAAGACCAGAATCAACAGTCGTGGATCGTCTCGCTCCGCTCGAAACAGGCAAAAGAGTGGGACTTTCTACGGAAAGCGGGGCACCTCTAAAGCCTGTACCCCACACCGTGCCTAGAGGACACGAGCCCCTTAATCTCAGGGACATACAGGATGGAGAAGACCCGGACTCACGTAAAGAATGGCGGGAAACTGTACTGCCAGGGCCACTCGAAACTCATCATCGCCGCTGAGGCCGAACGGAACCTCCGCCTTGGAGGACTAACTTCTGGTCCGTCCTACAAATAATTCCGCTTCCCTTCCTGTTTGGAGGCGGCCCCTTTAAAGGACTCCAAGAAACTGCAACCCCAGGACGAGGCAATAGATCTATAAATGTAGAATCTTCCGGTTGGGGTTGTATAAGTCGGAAAATTTTGTTTGCGATTAGTTTTGGAAGAGAAGTTGCAAGTCTGCGGAGCACACGGCCTATCAGCTTGCAGTCAAGCGTCTGTTGAATTTAAATTAAGGTGACCAGATTTTCAGATTGGTAAAGAGGGACACCATTGAGGGGGGGGGGGGGGGGCCTTGATTAAAAAAATTTTTTTTGTCAAAAGGTCACCCCAGGACACTGAAACCAGCATAAATACGAATCTGTTGCCAAACAAAATTT